TGTGTCATGTGACTGCAGTTGCTTCACATCCAGGTCGGAACACATTCTCACCACAAACGAACTGCACCAGAGTTCATTTGTAACCAGACTGAGACCACCTCTTCAAGAAGGTCTCAGTCTGCAACTCAAATTTGACTTTAACACCATGGACTTGTGACTTTGGACTTGAGTATTTTGACTTATAAACCCTTGATACCTTCCTCCAAGCCCAAAGATGGAAAAGTATGTTATTTAAAGAGAATACCACAAATCAATTAGTTTTTTTTGATCAACTAGCGTTACAGCTCTTCATTTCTTGCAAGTTGACACTTAATTTCCCCGATGATCCACTTCAACTGAGCCAATCTGACAGCATCCAATCGAGTCGCAGGAGAGAATCATGACGAATTAATGCCACGTTATTGAGCCGCAGTTAGAAAAAATAATACCAAAGAAAAGTCTGGTCGCATACAAAAGACCTTTTTACACAGAGATCACATTATAGAGCGGCTACAAAGCCTTTCTTTATACCACCTTTGTATTTGTGCACAGAACCAAATGACAGTGGCATCATGCCACCCTAGTGTGCGATTTTAAGACGGCATGCCGGATTCATGGAAGAAAAAGTGGCGTGCATAGCCTGACATGAAACACAACAGCGTTATCTCTAGTGTGACACATAGGGCTGCAGTGATATACCAGTTGCAAGATATACTGTAATATAAATGTTGACTGTTATCATACTATGTACATTTGCTTATCTACAATATTGAAAAAAATTCAACTGGACTTAAAAATCTTTTAACACATACTTCTATTAAGAAATGGTTTCAAATTTCAATTATAGTAATAAAAAGTTTGTTCAACCAAAAATAACCCTTCTGTTTTCCTTCCTTTGAGGCTCATTGTGACTGATAGCAAGATAAAGTCTGTGATCCCGTGATACCGCAATATTTTCTGAGGCCGTTATCGTACTGTACTGTTGCAAACCTACATACAACATACATGTCAGCAGCTCTTTCTAAACAATAACAACATTGATATATGGTAGCTGATCTCATTCTCTGCTCACAGTAAGGAGCTCCAGGACCTTATTGTTTTCCCAATTTTGCTGTTCTTCCTCTTCGAGTTAGTCGCTAACTGCTAGCAGCTACTTTTTAAATCTCCCCCAGAAAGTTGCACACACATCATCATAACTTAACAACCGTGCGACCCACGACCCCGTCCTGCTGGTTTCCCATTTATTCGGACGTTGTTTTGGCGCTGCTACTACCTCCAATGCCGGCTTAACGGTGAGAAAACTCTGTCCCACCATTCCATGATTGTACCTTTTATACACAACACATTTAGGTGGCCTGAAGGTGTGAAATTCCTACCTTGAAGAGGCAGTGTAAAAAAAACAAAAAACAAACTGCAGAACCAAGGGTCAAAAATTTGAAGTTGCACCAACAATGGTAAATCGAGGCTAATATTAACATAATGAGCTAATGCTTAGCTAACGTTAGCTTAAAAGTTGAGTAACTTATCAAAGTTATTTTGACAAATAAATATACATTTTAAAAATCATCCATCATTTCTGGAAATTGAAAATATTTTCACTCTGTTACTAAAATGGCATTACTTTTGGTAAGAAGCGCATTGTGACTTCTTTAAGACTCGAAACTCAAAGTCAACGCGGTCTCACTCTGAAGTCGCCGAAATTCGTTGTTTAGGTTGTGACTTTCGGCATCAGATACCGAAAAAAAAAGCTGCCCTTTAATGTCAGCATGATACGCAGCCGGTCATGTTATAGTTTAACGTCAACAACCAACGCACCCAGGGTACCTTGCACATCGTATCTGGACATGTACGTAAAGTCCACAACAAAACGTCAATATGTGATGAGGTCGGAGTGAGAATGTGTTGTCAAAGTTCAGGACCTGGGACTTGAGTGCAAAGATTTGAGACTTACTTGTGACGACTTGGTCCCACCTGTGGTAATAAGTATTGACAGACCAGTATAAAAACCAAACAGTTTATTTATTATATACATTCAATAATAATGAAGAGAATAAACAGAAGGCAGACACAAGGATGGCAAAATAAAACATTGTGAGAAAATACATGTCACTTATTGAAAAAAAAAATCACTTGGATAAATGAGCTTTTAAGAGCATGTGACATTAAAAAAATCCACATGCAATTCAAACTCATTTATGAAATCCCTGTACAAAGGAAAAAAAAAAAAAAAACTCCCACTGGGTTGACTCGAGCACAGTGCAGGGGAGTCGGGGTCAGCGGCTGAGGAGAACTTGTGTGTCTGCTCCAGCACGGCTCTGCGCTCATTTCTGCAGCCTTCCAAATGAGATTTACTCCAATTAGAAGAGACAAAAACAAGCAGAGGCGACCTGCAGGAGTCACTGCAGCTGCACCACGGTGGCTGCTCAATAACATTTACACCACCTCAATACAAGCTGAATGACCATCTCTGTGGGCAGGTACATACTACAATACACCGTAGCAGCTGCTGCCACATCACCAGCCTTACAACATCTTAAAGGAACACTTCACCCACCGAGTAATTATTTGTAGATCAATTACTCACCATGTGTTGTGTTGAATTTGGGAAGAAAACACTGTTTTTCTCGCTTGTCCCCGCAGTGAACAAACAAAGACATTTTGTGATGAATTGAAGTCATAGGGGGCCGCGTTTAACAACAGCAAAACTACAACAAAACACCCATTTACAAACTCTCACAGAACTCCTGCAGTATAATCCACATCTCATCTATCCAGTCGTAAACTCAGTACTTGAGAAAGCCAAAACAGAGAGCCCTTTCCTATGAGGAACTGAACTGAACTCTTCAAAGCCAGACTCGACAAAATCACTGATTTAACCTTGCTAAAATAAGGGAGCTGCTGGTCTACCACTGCCTCAATCGGCTAATTTGTCTGTGTTACTGTGTGAATCCGGTGCTTTACAGAGTTAGTTCCGATTCATCAAAGTCACAATAACACAAACAAACAAATCAATCAAGGCAGTGGTAGACCAGCTGCTCCTGGGCTCAGTGAGGTAAAATTACTGATTTTGTCAATGGAGTCTGGCTTTGAAGAGAGCATAGATGAGTTTCACTTTTCCGTCAGCTCCCTGTCAGATCAGGGTTGTCGGTTTGGGAAGTGCTGAGCGTACGACTGGATAAATGAGACTTGGATTATACTTCACAAGTTCTGTGAGAGTTTATGAACTGATATTTGATATAGTTTTACTGTTGGTAAACATGGACTCCATGAGCTCTATCATCAATCACCTTCTCAGTTTTTGGATTCTTCCTTCACCACATACTACGGCTGCAAGTAATGATTATTTTCATTGTTTGATTTATTAGTTTATTATTTAAGCAATTATTCAATTAGTTGTTTGGTCTATAAAATGGCAGAAAACAGTGAAAAATGTCCATTAGTGTTTCTCAAAGCCCAAGATGACGACCTCAAATGATTTGTTTTGTCCAAAACCCAAAGATACTCAGTTTACTGCCACAGATTAGCAAAGAAACCAGAAAATATTTGTATTTAAGAAGCTGGAATCAGAGAATTTTTATTTTTTTGTCCCTAAAAAATTACTCAAAGCAGTTAATTCACTATCGAAATTAGTTGTTTGGGCTATAAAATGTCTGTCGGTGTTTCTCAAAGCCCAAGATGACATCCTCAACTGATTAGTTTTGTCCAAAATCCAAAGATAAACAAGAAATATTCACATTTAAGACGACGGAATCTGAGAATTTTGCTTATTTATTCTTTAAAAAATTACTCAAGGTGATTAATCGACTTTTAATTTTATTAGTCAACAACTAATCCATAAATCATTGCAGCTCTACTGTGGAGGCATGCAAGAAGAACAAAGTTTTCTTCCCGAATTCGACGTAACACGGTGTGAGTAACTGATCTACAAATGATCATCCTGTGGGTGAAGTGTCCCTTTAAAGTTGACTCATCATTAGGTGGACCTGTGTCGTTAATGTTATCGTTTCTGAGATTTATTTTCATTATAAAAGCAAACCACAGGGGTGTAGACATACCAAATTAAACTTTACGCATCTGATATGGCTGGTGATTACCACGGCGACCGCAGAGGCACAGAGCAGCGATAACCCAGATTATTGAAGCGGACTGAATCGGCTTCCATAAAGCGACTGCGGGCCACTTGCTTCTCCCCCTCCCCACACTGAGACTCTACCGGACCTTCGCTGAGATTCCTCATCACTCCTGTCGCCTCGCATCACATAACATCCGCGTCTCTTTCTTTCTCCTGCTTTGTAAACGCCCCCGTCCATCCTGATCTTCCTCCTCCAGCACTATGATTTGAATTCATGCACAAATGAAATCTGACTGACGCCCTTCCTCTCTCACAAAAGCATGCATAGCAACACTTCTGATAATACTTGTAAGGAATAATAAGACAGAAAAAAAAAAAAAAAGAAGAGGTAACGCGCGTCAAAAATATTCATTGGACCTACTGCACACATTTTTCACAATCATACAAAAACAACATCACCCGCCTCGCACTGTCCGCTCCGCCCTGAGCGCACTGTACCCCCTGAAAAATTAAAAAAGAAGAAGAAAAGACAGCAGAGGACATTGTTATCCTGTCAGCTCATGATTAATGGCTCAGCTCCTCACCTTCACCATCACCGCCACAATGTCCCCCCACTAACCACCCACACACTGTTTCACTGTTCACAAGCTGGCAGCTGCTGGGCCACAGGGCGCCTTCGACATTGTGTGGACACTTCCCCTCCCTTGTCTTTGCCTGTAATTTGGCCCTAATGGCAAATGTAATTCAAAATATCCGCTCTGTCTTTCTGCATATCCCTCATGACTCCATCTGCTCTGATTCCCCCCGTGTGCAGCAAACACCTCCACGTCCACACTTTCACGTTATAAAAAAAAAAATCCAATAAATTAGTGTGTGAATTTTACAGGGTTGTTTTTGTGTTTGTCCCAAAATTGCTGCAACCTTTCAAATGTGTTCTCTTTTTTTTTTGTAGATGCTGCTTTAATGACATATCCCAGGGCGCTGTTTCAACACTGCACTGAAAAACACAACCCACAGATTAAAAAAAAAAAAAAAAAAAAACACACACACAACAAAGTAAAGGCAACAAAAAAGTCACAAAAGTAAGAAATACATCAGGACCAAAAAAAAAAGGGCTTTCTTCAGAAAATCTTTGGAACCAAAAAGGCAAATAATAGCAATAACAACATAGTGAGAGTATATGGAGACGTGATACATACAGGACAGAGACTTGGTGTGTAAGTTATTTGATGACGCCTCCACACGGACTGATATGGAGAACTTTAAAACTATTCAATCCCAGAGAGAATAATGAAGGATTTAAAATTACAAAATGATGCAGACACGTTAAAAATGATTGAATATAAATAGATAAACTCTCATTACTTCACCATTACGATCTCTGTTTCAAATGTGTTCTAATCTGGGCTGTTCTGCTGGGATCTGCCGCTCCGCTGAGCTGAGCTGAGATCAGACGTTTCCACGCACAGAGCAGCCCGAAGCCTGGAGGCAGAATATATATCTCAATTGGCCAGGAGGGATTCCCATTTGGCTGACTGGCAGATGATTAGCTTCCCGCGTGGGTGTTCCCGCTTCAAATCTAGTTCATTTGTGTTCGATGGGTTCTTTTGTCCATCTGACCCGTTCGCTCGCTGCGTCGCCGCTGCAGCTGGAATGTCTGGCGGTTTTAAGGGTGACAGAGAGAAATGGGCCGAGTCCTTTTTTGGAAGAAGTGCCGAGAGCAGATCGAGGATGAGAGGGGAGGGGAGGTGCGCTGGATTCTCAAAATGGACACAGGGTCAAACTGAATCCACGTCCCGTCTTAGTGTTTGCAGTTACAGTAATAAATGTGTCGACCAGCAATAAGGACAAAAGAATGGCTCCGTCGCCGAACGCGTCCACGTTATATATGACGACAGTTCTATGCAACTTCTTATCAATGGCAGCAAAACTAAATACGTGAGAGAAAAACTGAGGTAATGCAGAAAAAAAGTCACTTGTTTTTTTTCCTTGTCGTTTTTTTTAATTCTTTTTTTTGTGTGTTTCCTTTTTATTCGGGGGGGGAGTTTAGTGAAATGTTGGAAAAATGACAAAAAGAGAGTTTTCCCATGCTGTGGTTCTTGTTGCCAGGACAACAGTGGTTTCTGTCAGTCAGAGGCTGAACGTTCCAGCTTTACAAAACAACATAATAATTCCTACATCTTCTGTGTCGAGGAGTCCTAGTTTCATTATTACACAGTGACGCTGAACCAGAGGGACGTCTCTGCTGCAGCTTCACGTCAATGTAGTGTTTAAAAACATGAGTACCTTTTATAGTAACGCTGTGCTGTGGCATCAATCTGTGCAGGCCGTCACTAGAGGAGAACGTAGAGGAAGCCGTATACTTGGTGTTGAAAGTGTGTGTACATGTCTCATTAGGTTTTACAGGGCAGTGGATATACTGTAAGTTCAGAAGGAGAGAAAAAAAAAAAGGTGTCACACAGGAACAGCAGTCGCTCTCCCTCCAGGTCCCGTAGTGTTTTAAAAACCGTCCTAAATTGTGCCCCGTGGTTCAAAGTAGCAGGCTCCGGCTTTTTCATGTGGGAGACACTCCTGGCAGTTTAGTCATTGTTTCCGTGTCAGCGACAGACAGAAGAGTACAGAAACAGAGTTTGAGTTGATGATGTGGCGAATGACCTCTCTCGCCACGGACGAAAAAAGAAAAGAGAAAAAGGAAAAAACAAAACACATGAGTTGTCACTAGAGTCCGCCTGCAGAAAAATGGAGGGGAGCTGCTGCCAAACAAAGAGCTTGAAAAAGGGTTTTGGAGCGATGTGAAATTCCTCGGGTGTGATTTGTGGTTTTAGTAAGGAGCGAACCTACTGTATCCTGCCCGGTATAAACTGGCCTGAAAGAGACAGAAGGGACAAAACAGTCAACACATGGAAACATGGAGTTACAGCTACTGTTGTGAAACAATCTGGTCTACACAAATCCATAAACAATACATTTAACCTCCTGAGACCCGAACTTCTGTTTGGTATGCATTTTTAATTCCTCCTAGCTATTTGAAATCAGTAGGATCCGATAATCATAAAAAACTCAACATTGTGAGCGATAATGAAGTCCCAATGTCCTCAAATGTGTTGCCACATCAAACTACAAACATTATTAATCATAAATAAATATGTTTCAACCATAAAATGTGATCAGGTTTTGGAGCTTGTCCCCTTTTGTGCTGGGATCGGCTGCAGACTGACTTGGCAGAGATGGCTGCGTTAAGTAGAAGGAGGTAAAGAGACTGTAATGTGTACATATTTCATGCTTCGAATTATGGTAACAACAATTTAACATTCACAACCAGATCAACCAGTGGGTTCCCCAGGTCAGAGTCACTCACTGGGCCCAGTTTTAGAACAAAAGAATATTAACTATCTGGCAAAATATACAAGATAAGAAGTGTTTTCAAGGAGCAAAAGCAAAAACCAGTGCCTACTAGAGTAACAAAAGGAGTAAGATAAGTACCATGAGTTACTAAAAATGAACTAAAATGGTGGATAAAAGCAGACTGCACCTGATAATGTTATTTTGGATATGATGTAAAAATGAGAAGTAGTATTGCACATGATTTGGAGAAAATTGAGCTTAAAGCAGGATTTATACATCTGCACTGCGTCTACAGAGAGCCTGCGCCGTAGCCTGACGTGCACCTCCCCAGAAATGTAACTACATGTCAGAGCAACACAGACCTCCTGTCTGTTTCTGTAAGCTGAAACCATTTCCCTTAGAGGAAACTGAGCTTTTATTTACTTTAATTTCACAGATAAGAAACAACAAATTGTGAAGACAGTAAGTCTTGTGTGTGATTTATCCTGGCTTCATAGGAGCAGAGGAAATCTCCGTTCGTCGCCAGGCTAATTTATACAATGTAAAATGCCACAGGCTGGCGCTAATAACGTTAGCATGTTGTATTTGTTTGGAAAACGTGTTTAGTAAAAGACTTTTTTTTGTCAGTGAACCTTGTGAGTTGTAATGGAGCCAAAATCTGTAATGTTACTTTTGTTAAATGTTGCTGTTGTCCCTGGCTTCATATGAGTAGAGGAAAAGTCCGCTAGCTGCTAGGCTAATTTATACAATGTAAAATGCCATAGGCTTGTGCTAATAACGTTAGCATGTTGTATTTGTGGGGAAAATGTGTCCAGATGAAGACATGTGTTTGTGAATACTGCGAGTTATAGTGAAGCTGATTTGTGTACTTGTGTTTGAAATTGTCTCTATTAAGCCATGTTTAATGTGTGTTTAATGTTGTTTTGAATCAATTAAACATTACAGCACATCACAGAAACCCTGCCGCCGACTAGTGTTTTGGAGGTGTAACTGCAGAGTGACACAGACACACCACCACACAAGTATAAATGCTCACAACAACTTAGGCTACTTAATAGGCTACGGCGTAGGGTCTGCATAAAGCTGACGCACGAGTATAAATCCCGCTTACCACATGCAAACCATGTCTTAAACCTTCCATCTTTAAACATACGACTCATTTCTGTTGCACGCTGGTTGTGTTTCAGAGCTTGTGTAAGTGTTCTCACCATGGCTCCGACTCCGTAAGCAGCAGCAGCTGGAGTTAAAGCATGGTAGGGATCTGTAGTGTACACGCGGCCATAACTAGAATCAAGTCAAAATCAAATCATGTTTATTTATATGGCACAATTAAAAACAACCGCAGCTGTACAAAATAAAAGAGTGACACACAAATATATAGCGATATAAGATGTACACAAATATATAACACATATGAAAGTCTGAAGAAAATACTGTTTCAATAAATCATCAGTTGATATGGTTCAACATAATCAGGATATTATGAATGTATAATCATTCAATAACGCTGATTTGGCTCCTTCAGCGTGCAGCCATTCAGGTGAGCGTTACACTGAATCTAATCTCCTCCTCACACACAAGATTACATTTCACGGTTAAGACCTTACTGGCTTTCACTGTTATCTTTTCCATCCATTAGTGCTGTGTTACTGAACATAAATGTCCTCATACATCCCATAATCCCATTACCAGTATCGTCCGTTATCATAGAACCTTGGTATCGTGTATTAACCCTTTGGATTCCTCATTATTCCTCCTATCTGAAACTCATCTCTGACTCTACAGAGCATCTTCACACTCAGGTGTGTGTGTGTGTGTGTGTCCCGGGATGAACTCACCTGTCACTGTAGGCAGCAGCTGCGGCGGTTGCTCCGGTTACGGCCGCGGGCTGGGCGTAGCGATAAGCAGCGGCGGCGGCAGCAGCAGCAGGGTAGCCTCCCTAAAGACACACACATACACACACAACAGATCTCATTCATATGTCTCTGAGGAGGACAACACCTGGACTAAGGTGTGTGAATGAGTGGGGGAGGGGAGCGCCATATAGAGACAGAATATACTGACATTTCATTTTAATAAATACTTAAATATATGCATAAATATTTGTGATTACTTTACGTGATTATCTACAATTTGTGAATACTGCACAATGATTACTATTTTCTTTTTGATTATGTGATATTTAACGCAGAATTTTAAGGTAAAATGAAAAAATATAGCAAATAAATTGTACAATAAATTTAGAGATATTTTATTTCCCTGTTTTCAGTATAAAATAACTTTAATAATAACTTGGCCTGTCACCATAATTACTTTTATTGGATGATATATTGTTCCAAAAAATTGTTAAAAGCAATATCAATATCATTTTGAGACCATTTAAAGCCACTAATAAAAAAACAATGAAACACCAAGAGGTAACTTTTGATTATTATTATTTTTTATTATTTTTTTGGGGGGCTTTTTTCCTTTAATGACGGGACAGTTTGAAGCATGAAGGGGGGAGACAGAGGGGACCACATCAAATCAAACCCTCAGCCACTGCTGCAAGGACACTGCCTTTGTTCACTGGACGCCCGCTCTACCCACTGAGCTACTGGGCGCCCCGAAATCTTAATTCTTACGAATATTCACACACTAGAATAAAAATCTGAAAAAATATTTATCAAATTTGTAAAAAAGTAATTAACACCTGTTAATATATACAAGAAAGTATGTATAACATTTTAGTAGCTTCATGGAATAACCCAGAAATTGCTCAGTTTGAGTACAAAATTTGGCCGACAAAAATAAAACCAACCAAACTCAAGCGACTAAGGGCATCTATTGCCCTAGTTTTTGCGATGTGTGCCGCACCATTGGCCCCAGTCGGCCCTCGGTATCTTTTTTTCGGCCAGTTCAGCATGTTGAATTGGAGGCCGAGACCTTTATCAGAAACAGTAAATATCATAAATATTCTTTGCTCGTACATCGGGTTGTGTTGTTCATGTGCTAACTGGCTAACTAGCGTCTGATACCTGCTGGTATGGAGAATTATGTCCTCTCACACAGGTGCAGAACATACGTGCTAGCTGGCTGTCAGCTGTCGTCTTTGCGATGTGTTCAAGTTCCATATATGGCAACGCAACACTCCACCTTCGTAGGGCTGGGCAATATGTCCTGAAAATTATATCACGGTATTTTTAGGCTGTATCTCGATACATGGTATATATCTCTATATTTTTTAAATCTCCTCAAGAGCACTTCATTAAAGCCAGGACTGGGAGAGAAAATTATTAATATTTCTGACCAAATCACCCTCTCTGATGCAAAAAAAAAAAAGTAGGGAAGATTCCCCCCCCCAAAAAAAAAAAAATTCTCGCAGAGAGATTTTGATCAATAATCAACAATAATGTGGGTCAAAGCAAGCGTTTAAACAAATAAAAATTCTGGTAAGTTGATAAATGTACATCACTTTACTGTAACCTTTAGAATGAAGGAAAAAACACCATTTATTCCATATGACGATCCAACGATATCCAAAAAAATGATATGTAGTCTCATATCTTGATAACGCTACACCTTTGACGTCACTAGTTTAGTGCTGCACGATTAATCTAATCACAATCGCGATATCAGGCTATGCGATTACATAACCGCATAAAAGCCTGCAATTTGCAATTTAATGTAAATCAATGTTAACGTGTGTGCCTGTGAACGTGACTGCCTCTCCTGTAGTGTGTAGAGTGTGTTGACATCACACCCACAAGCTATCCTGGTGCGTGCAACACAGGCTCTGTCCGCTGTAGGTACAGTGCCATGCTGGGCTGCTGTGTGAGCAACGAGTTTGACTGTGCTCAGTCTGTTGATGGTCATTTACATATGTCAGGTCAGGTCAGTGCCCCCCTAATATAATGTAGGGGAAACACTGAATCAAGCATGAAGACTAATGATACCATTTATGTGTTATATTGTAATCGCAATCGCAAATCACGATATTGTCCACTCAGATCGCAATCGCGCATTTTTATCAAATCGTGCAGCACTACACTAGTTCTTTGATGTTGGTTTGGTGTGTCTGAGCCTTATGTGGCAAGTTCAGCCAAGCTTTGGAACAACGCAGTGACCTTCTTAATTCAGCCGGTGTGCTGCAGTCGGCTCCCGGCGAAGGCCAGCCTATGAGTCAGGGGTTTGCTGGTGGATTTACAAAGTGGAGGGTGAAGGTTTTGGAGGGTATATCTACGAACCACTGACGTTTTGGTTTGTTGCCAGGGGTTGGCAAGATAACGACTACCAGGATTGTGCCTCTTCCACTCCAAAAGTGCAGCTGCAGGCTACCTGTGAGCTACCTGTGAGCTTTGGAGTGTGGTTTGATTTTTCTCGAGGTGGAAAGAAAAAAAAGGGGGAACGCTGCACCAAAGTCTTAAAATGGTCGGGAAAATCCCTGCTGTTTATTATGGCATCATACTGGCAACATTCCTATGTAAATTAACACGCTTCAAAGACAACAAAGTGTCCATATGTCATATGATAACTCGATATTGTAATTATCGTGACAGGCCTACTGATAACATTTCCTTACATATACTCTTTGTATTCCCAAACCTGAGCTGAAATACAGTGTGCGTCAGTATATTGCATTTCTGTATGGGGAGAGGAGGTGGTGTGGTGCTGGATGTGGGACAGGAGTGCTTTATCAGTGAGACAGAGAGAGAAAATTGGACTGTCGAGGTTGAGTTAGATTGTATTATTACCACTACGGGAGAGGGGGAGGTAAAACAGTGGAAGACAAAATGTTCAGGCCATATAGAAACTCAATGTCTCGTCAGGACAGAAAGATAATGATCGGATGTGTCAGGAGAACGCCTGTGAGTACAGTATGAGGACACTACAGGAGTCAGAAGTTCTAGTGGAGACACATTATGACAAAACTGCATTTGTTATTAATATTATTATTATTTGTGTTTCTTCAACATGAATTCAGGAGACAGAAACAAGAGAGGAAGATGGAAATAAAAAGGTCACACACACAAACACACCCACACAAGCCTATGCTGACTAAAAATCATCTCCTCACGCTGAGACTGCATGCATGACCCAAATTAAAATCCAAACCTACTCAGAAACAAAAACAAACAAAACACAACACCACTGCATTTGGACCTGATCAGAACAGAGCACAGCAAAGCACAACAGAAACACCCGGCATTCTCCGAGACGCCTGCAGGACACGGAGCGGAGGGGGCGGGGCAGAGAAAACGGGGTTATTAGGGAGCGAGAGCAAGGCCTTGTGGGTGAGTGGAGGGAGAGGAGGACATGGAGCAGTAGTACAGTATGTCCGCATGCAGCAGCTGATCAGCACATGCTTCAGTAATCATCCTGGAAGGAGTCGGGGAGGTTAATTCAGGAAGAGACCATGTTCTCCGCTTCAACATCCCATGCTAACACTGACTGGACCTTTGCTGCAAAGGGGTCCAACTTGGGCTTTTCACGCTGTGCGTTACGAGAGCGAAAGTAGGCAAAGGCAGCGGGGACTTACTTCCAGCTCTCTACTGCTACCACTGAGAAGTTCAGCTCAACCATGGTGTAACTGAGTTGCAAAAGTCACTGCTGTGTCTTGTACTGTTACAACAAGCATTATTTAAGTTTCCATGACTGTCCATCAGATAATATTCACGATCAGATGAGACAAGAGGGCCAAAGTTATGTCTGCAGTCTTCCACTTAATAAGGAGGATAACTTTTCAACCTCAAAGTCCAAGGACGTCTTAAAAAAATGGGGTTCGGTTCAGGCCTTGGAAAGAAGCCAGTCGGTGTATAAAAGACGGCCGCAGAGCAGCTTGGTGATGTCAGGGTCAGGCTGTTACCACAGCAGGTGAAGCTACCGCCCCTCACCCTGACCATATGCTTCACATCCTCAGCCTGGTAAGTTCAAAGGCCCAAACACACCAGAACGTTACAGAGTGAAGGCCTTTGTATGCTGAGGCCGTTTTTTTGGGATGCATTTTTTTAATCCGTCATGCGGAAAAAATCATCACGCACAGAAACCGATTTGTTTTGTTGCTCCATTCATTGTGAAAATTCGCAAAATGTGACAAAATTAAAAGACTCTTTGCCTCTCTCCTCTGGAGTTACCTATCTGACTGTCACCACTCCCTCCCTGTCTTTCGTTTGGCACTGCAGCTGCATGAAGGGCGGATCTGTGTGGTTCGCATCCTCCTCCTCTTCATCATCCACCTCAATATTACTATCCGACCTGTTGAACGTGAGCTGTCTGAGTTATCAAATGATTCTGTGCGCCCTGATCCTGTCTTGTCTCAGCTGTGTCCCACCGCCACATTTTCTTCACTGATACTTGGTCAAACGTCTCTAACGACTCGGATAGATGCGGACTCAGTGTGTAAACGTGATTGACACAACGTGAGGTATTTATTTTTAGACGTGCAACAATTTCAGACGAAAGAAACAGACTCTCTGCAAAGGCATTAAGTGGCGATAAAGGCTGACTGTTGTGTTGCCTCATGTTGCCTTTGTTGCACTTGAAGCTAGGGCTGCAACAATCAGTCGACTAATCGATTATTAAAATAATCAAAAGTACTCCAAAATACTCTTATTGCAGCTTCTTATGTTCAGATATTGGCAGCTTTACACACTCTCCCATGACAGTGAACTAAAACCCTTTGGCGTGAGTACGAAACAAAACATTAGATGACATTTTTGGGGGGTTTGGGAGAGACAGACCGACATCTTTTAACATTTTAACACATTTTTCAATAAAATGATTAGTCGATTAATCGAAGAAATAATCGACAGATTAGTCGACAATGAAAATAATGGTTAGTTGCAGCCCTTCTTGAAGCCAACGTCCAACTAGCATGTATGTTTTGCGCCTGCGTGAGAGAAAATAACTCTCCAGTGCAGAAGGTGGAAGTAGTCTGAGTTTGTCATTCAAAAAGGGAAACCGGAAGACAGACATGACGGATTTAAAGACGCTAGTTAGCCAGCTAGTCGTTAGTTTACTTTCCGCACTCCTGTTTCTCTTCTTGTGCACTGAGCTGAACTGATTTCAGGCACTGACGGGCAACATACTTTTTTGGCCGAGAAACAGTCGACAAGGACCAGGGGCCACCAGCCTGGCACACTCTGCAATATACTACAATCTAAATACCTGTTATTAGGTAACAATGAACACTTGACTGTGTGCGCTAAATTCATGTTCAAGTAGCTGTTGACATCAGTCACTGTCGTCTTTGACAGGCTGTGGGGAGAGTTGTGAAAATCATTTAAACCCTCTGCTGTTTGTTTTCACTGACTGGCATGTAGACAGCAACAAGTCTCTGCTGCCTTTGCTGACTTCAGCTCTCGGAAAGCACAGCGTGAAAGGCCATCATTATTAAGGATTGATGCAAGAAACCTATAGTTAAGTTTCCATCATGGCTGCATCCAATTTGTGTGTTTCCATTTTCATGTTTGTGAAATGTACGTGTCATCATTTTGGCTGACAAGAGAACAAAATAAAGAGTTTCTCCAAAACTAGCCGACCAGACAAAAGAGACCAGGTTCTCTTTTGAACAAACTGGCAGAAAAAAAATACACACTCAGTACACTTTAGTAGTTTAGTAAAACAAACAAACAAACAAAGCCCTTCCCAACAATCAAAAAGAGTGCACATTTCAGTGAGTTAGTAGAAAAATAAAGAAAAACTCAAAGCAGTGGTAATTTTGGTTTTGAAAAACAACTAAAAGACAACATGTTCCAGATCAGTTCAGAAGATGATTCATAAGATCAGAGGAGGTAGTACAGTAAAAAAACAATGCACACTGTGGGTTTGGTGTTGAGTTGACCCTACCTGAGGCAATCTGGGACTAAGGACTGAGTCCTGAAACACTAGTCTATAGAGAGAACAGAAACAACCGTTGTCAACCTGGATACACACACACGCACGCACACTCTTGTTCATACTCTCGCACACCCGTACACTGACGCACGCTGCCACATCCGCCCACAGAGCAGCCTTTATAGTGGTGTTTGACACCCTCTTTCCTATCATTAAGACTTCCCAGCTATTTTTAAATCAAAGCGACCTATTTTGACCCAACAACGAAAAATAACCCTGAGGCAAGAAACAGCTTCTATGATGAAGGATCTGGTGTTACGAGGGGTGTTTCTGAACAGGTCTTCATTGTGGGCTCATTCACCTTTATGCAGGCAGCTCTGTGCAGCGCATGACTGGACGAACGCACATGCAGAATCACCCCCAGAGGGAAAAAAGAGCAGGAGAAAGCCGTGAGGGGAGGGTCAGAGAGGGTGTGTCGGTGGGAGGTGAGTTTACTTACATATAAGTCTGCGGCTCCGTAAAACCCATCCTGATACACCACACTGAGAGAGAGAGAGGAAGAAAACGGGAGGGGATGGTGTGGTGGAGGGGGTGCAAACGGAGTGGTGCACAGTCCCAAAACCAGAGTGGATGAAAGTCACAACACAGCAAAGAGAAAAGATGGTACAGACAGAGATGGGAAGAAAGAGAGAGAAAGAGAAAAGTAGTTATTTCACACCCATGCAGCATGCAGAGGAAATACAACTTCCATTTAAGCTCCAAAGCCCAAACTAAAAACATTAAACAAAAGACTTGTGGGGCGAATAGATTAAGCTCATTGAGCTGAAATGGAACCGTAAAGTCCTATTGTTCCCCAGCTTCAAGAAAATCAAGGCAGTACAGGGTGCTCTGAATGGATGGTTTTATGGTGTGGGTTTCAGTGGAGCAGATATGGAGAGGGTATTTCCTGCAGCCCCTCAATATCATCTTGTTTAGCTTCATTTGAATACCAACATAATAAGCAGCCGCAAGGCCATTAACCAATCAATTCTGCTTTGATCTGAGTATCGCAGCAGTCGCAACCCCATTAGCCAATCATCACAGCACAGCAACGACATGCACAGTACACATACTGAGGGGACAAATAACAGATCAGAGTAAACGTGAATAATTCGTAGCAAATCTGTGAGCGGGGTGACTGCGTCTGCATAATGACTGAACGTGTGTTTGTGTGTGTGTGTCTATGCAAATCTGCTGCTGGTGGTATCTGTGAGTTTATTCAAATGAGCCTTCGATGGTGCAATCCCATCACTGTGTCATACTTGGCTGAATAGCTTGTGAACTGACTGACAATGTGCCAGTTGGACCGCTGAAGAGAGTGAAGTGTGAATAATGTGAGGAGTGTATCAGCCCAGCTGCATTAAACAGAGCGCTGGTCAAATAGGATCTGGAAAATTACTCTGGAAATGGTATTCATGAGGTGTTCCTCGATGGATTTACTCGCCGCTAAACAAAACAATTGATCTCGGCTTGTTTTATATCTCAAATGTGTTGTGTAAAGCGCACGCTGCAGATGTGGGACAGCTAGTCAACAGCTCGTTTATACACAGCGTGCATTTTCTTACCCGGGGTAGGCGGGGATGGCGGGCTGAGGCACGGCAGCCCGCACGGCGCTGTAGACGGGCCGGCCTCGACCCCTGAGGTGGGCGCCGCGGAACGCTGCTGCCGCTGTAGTGGCTGCTGCTGCTGCTGAAGGGTAGGGAAACCCTGGGACTGAGAGGTGAGGAAGGTGGAGGGAGAGCAGGTGATTTAAGGAGGAAATGTAACGATGAAAAGGACAATGTAAAAGGAAAAAAAAGGAGAACCATGATGAATTAAGGAGAAAGAAAGAGCAAAGAAAGGAGGGGAATAATACCAACTCGCCCTGCGGGCTTGATATCAATAAAAGTGTCAGTGAGGAGAAATGCTAGGCAAGCAGTGCATTAATATAAATTAAAGATTGGAATGTGATTAAAATGTAAAGTAGGCTGCGGAGACAGATTTTAGTGTGGGTGTGGGAGATGGAGCGCGGCCTCACCTGCGTAGAGCTCCGGTCCGTACACGGCCCCCACCATCGGACTCAGTTTCCACCCCGCTGATCGTCACACAGAGAAGAAAGGGCACTTCATTAATATGGGCGGCTCACAGAGAGCGTAGGATCCTGTGTGCCTGCTGCACTTACATGGTGTATTAATATACAGACACACCTCTACTCCTGTTGTTCACCTTTATTTCTGGCATTCACAGTTCATTATTTAAAGAGCAGTTTAATCACAGCAACAGAACAGGAGCAAAGGGACAACAGTCGAGCAACACGGCAGCATTTCTTTAAAAATTGATTGTAATAACTGCTTCTGTTTCCAAGGCTGCCCAACAGAGCGCTACCTTGTTTTCATAGGACAGATTGCCTCTGCAAGGCTGACTCTAAACTACACTGGCAGAGCTGCACAGCCTCGTCCTACAGATGGTTCACGTTTAATAAAGGGCTTAAAACACACTATAATGCAGTTGCAATATAGAAAACAGTTGTGATTAGTGCTGATTAACTGTGCACAGCTGGTTCAATATCAGCAAATTTTCCCTTTATATTCATTGTCTTGTGTGGAGATCAGCAGTGATGTGGTGGTTCACTTTTACACTGTGATCTGTAGCCTATAGTTCGGCTTTAGCTTCTAACTATCTTTGTCTTTTTAACCTGTTGTTGCTGCTGAGTCAGTTTGACATCCTGGATATATCCTTCAAACACAGACTGTAGAACCCTCTGTCTGCTACTCTCTGGAATCACTCTTTCATTTCTCCAAACATATTTCTTCAGGCAGTGCAGTTAGTTACAGTGTGGGCTCCATGCTTACTGCGACAGCTTGTCGGACCATCACAAAGAGGCGGGGCTTGCCATTGTTTATACAGAGAAGGTACAACTGACTGATTAAAATGCACACGTGACGCTACACTGTAATGTTAGCTGGGCTCTAACACTTTGAACACACACTTTAATTTGGCTTTTTTTTTTACAGTGTACACTATATGCAACAAGAGTCACATACGCAGTAATTAACACTCTATAGCATTAATTATCAGTTTGGGACTGTCTGAATCTGCCGTGTGAAGCTGCCTAAACGCCGGTAGAAAAAGGCTCGCCTTCCACTCTGTTTCTATCTTGTTCAACACATTCGGGTCTTGCTGGTGTAAATTAAATGTTAGCAGCCATCCTAAAAGCTCCACCTGGTAGTGTAATGAGAGCTCAACAGGCTACACCTGCAGCAGTTGTGGTCGTAGCAGGTTATTTGAAAAATGAAGTCACTAAAGGATCAGCTACTCATTAGATTATAATTGTTCTTTGGCTTGTGAGTGAAGTCAATCTAGCTAACACTTGCATATTTCACCAACAGTTGGCTGATGCTAAGTTCAAACCCTGTTGGCGACACTGAGCTGTGCACCACTGTAAATGACGAGGGTGTGCTGGATTTACTTCACAAGACAAAACAAGAGCATCACTGCGAAACACAATGTGGCACAATATTTGTTTCTGTTGTATCAGCGGAAGACAAAATCATAATTAAAATAAAAGTCGATTAATCAAGCAGCGCAAGTCTTTATAGACGTTAAAATTTCTGACAAACACTACACAGTTTCAAGCAAATACATTAAAGTGTGTTATAAACCATTGATTAAATGTTTTATATTTTGCAAAGAAATGCTAAATAGGTGACTTAAAGTAAACTTTTACTTCTTCTGCCTTAAATGTTAAAGTAAATTCTAACATTTAAGGCATTGATAAGAAATTGCATATTTGGGCTGCAAAAATATATTTTTTTACAACTTGCACAATAAACATATTATGAAAGATATTTGAATCTGATTTTCCGAGTGAGCTAAAAAGAAAAGAGTATCAGTAGAAGAACTGCTATTTAAAATGTACCTATCATTCTGTTTTTTATTATTAGTGCCTTCAGTGCTCAGGTCAATGTTCAACTTGTTTAGGAAAGAATGTTGGAAATAACTTCATTTCATTTTTTTTTTAAAAATTTAACAAGACATTCATTGAATTTTCCTCATTTAATTCAATTCAATTTTATTTATGAAGTCCAATATAAAAAAATCATGTCGTCATGTGCATATGACGTTGCTTCCTGTGCGTACCACACTCCCTCCAGGCAAAACACAATGAATCGTGTTCATCGTAGGCCCACAGTTCCTGAGGTTTCACACAAACTTGTCCGACTGTGAAGTGCAAAACTGAGTGCTTCTTCAAGAGCCTCCATGCTTGAAAATCCGCGAAAAACCACTTGTAAACAGGATATGACGAAATATCTACACACATATTTACTGCTGGTCTATTCGCACAGGGTTAGTATTACCTGAGGTTATTTTCCGGGACCCTTTTACAGAAGGTAAAAGTCGCAGTAATCTTTACTGACATCGTGCGGTAATGATTACTGACATGGCACATTCGGACGGGACTAAAATCTCTGGTAATTATTATTTTACTCCACGTACCTATATAAAACTAATCCCGTCCAAATAGGGCTTAAGACATCCCTCTGTCCTTGGACCCTCACAGCGGATAAGGAAATACTTCCCAAAAAAACCCTTTAACAGGGTAAAAAAATGCAGCCCTAATGCAAATATTCGACACATTCAAGTAAAACCCAGGTCAACAACCTTAAACAAACAAATAAATAAACCCCAGCTAAAAAGCCATCCCCCTTTTACCCACATTCTTTATATTAAATTTAAGCTGACTTTGTTAAATGCTTCGTCTGAGGTGATGTTCAGAATCTGAGATTTTAGAGTCAGCTGACGTCGTGGCTGGTAGGTGGTGTAAAGCTAAAATAAACTGCATGAAATTGGTGTGCTGACAGCCTTACATAATGTGGTCTGCACTCCGCAGCAGAGCCTGCAGGGAGGAAACACTGTGGCTGGGTTGTGTGTGTTTTACGCTGCCTACATGCCTCTCCCTGTGTGTACCTGTGCTGTTTGGATTATTAGGCGGGCCTCGCTGCATTGTTAGTGTGTGTGTGTGTCGGTGTGGTTATTACCATAAGGCAGTGTGCTGAGAGCCTCTCCGTTAGGGTAGGGGCTGACCATTTTCTTGTTGGTCATCACCCTGGCGGTGGCATTATTCACCTGGGGACGGAGGAGCAGACGGTCAGAGACACAGACACAACAACTCCACAAAGGGAACTGAAGTATTACACAAACGCAGATCACAAGGCTGAAATGTTGTTTTTACAGTAGAAAACATTCGATATATCTCCTGTTGTGTGCTGTTATTATGTTTGCCTCCATTTGTTTTGTGCATCTCTGAGGTTGACAGTGTTATTATCGGAATATATTTGCTGTTGCTGGGTCATTAGATGTGGATGCTGGTGCCTTTTGGAGTTCTGGTCCATTTACTTGTGTCAACATGTAGTTTATATCTTCCCTGAATTTTCCTGCCCTACATAACTACTGAGCTTGTTTTTATTGTTACAATGCACACTTGATGGCATTAAAGCGTCATTATACTGCACACACTTTTGCAGTGGGAACAAAGATAATAAAATGAAACCAAATAAATCGGCTAAAATTAAACAGTGTGACGACGTATACATGCAAAAACTATTCAATTTTTTGCCCTTATTCCAAAAACGACAATATTCCTACTACGCTGTTTACACGACAATTGAAAATGAATATTTCACTAAGGGTGCTTCAGACCTAGAGTCGTCTTGCTTTGGTCCGAATCAGGGACTAATTTTGTTACAGAGTTGTATAATTGTCTAGAGTTGGTTCGAACCAGATCAAACGCCTTGTGTGAGAAAGCTGCTCTTGATTGGTCAGAATTTCCAAGTGGGAAAAATCCAGGAAGTAAACCAAACGTTGAAGAAGAGTACACTTGCAAGATAAATGTGACACTTTCTAATGTCACAATGGAGGGACAACTACGCAGGTTGATTTTAGCACTGCTCATCGTGGACTATATTGCTGTCATTGTTCATTTTAGTCAAACCATACAGTTTGAAAACGAGGCGCAGCTCCAACTAGAAAACAATGTTTTGATGCATTGGATGTGCTGAATGTGCATATTAAGGCAGTACAGGAGGAGGTGCACATTAATAATCCTCCAGGACTGTAACATGCTCATGTTTAACCCAAACAATGTGTCATGAGACTGCAGTTGGTTCAGATCGAGGTCGGAACACGTTCTCACCACAAACGAACTGCACCAGAGTTCGTTTGTAACCAGACTGAGACCACCTCTTCAAGAAGGTCTCAGTCTGGTTGTTTTGGTGCACACCTGAGTGTGATTGCTGTGTTCACACCTGCCCAAACGAACTGCACGTAGCGGGCAAGCGAACTTGAGTGAGATTAAACGGAACCAAACAGGGCAGGTGTGAAAGCACCTTAACATTCCGGTTTCCATGCAGCCGGGCATACTCAGACTGATATGCCCTAAAGCCCAGCTCCTCATTCATATTTTAAGAAGCTACAAAATTATATTCAGCCACAGAATAAGCCCGAAAGGCTGCAAATCGGAATGGAAATACAGAGTTGTTGCATAGAGATGATATGCCATCTCATCTAGTTGCATTTGTGTGAACTGGCAGGTTTTTAGAACGTTGCAGAACCGCACACTGCAAGTAGCTGCCTGTTTCAACTCGTCTCGTCGCGAATCTTTGGTCTGACCTGGGTTTAAAACCTGAACAATAACAGCATATCCCACATGTCTTAACTGGAAAACGCTACATTAGGAGTAAGATCTATTTTGAAATACCCAAACAGTGTACACAGTACAGTACACTGTTTAATGATCTGTGTCAAATTCAGAATAAAACTGGAACATAAGTGTGCATGTAAATGTAGTCAGTGTGGAATAATTTCACTTCCGACATGGCTACTAACTCTTTCAGTGTTGGTGTGTCAGAGCGGGTGGGGGCTGTTAGGGGGATTTTTAGTCATCATGCAATTAAAAGTGAGTTGGCCAGTAGAGATTTGGTGACTCATTGTGGAGAGAGACACAAGGGCTGCCACGGGTGACATTGGTTATGTTGTGGCTGTGGCTGCACATAAAGGGAGGAGGGGGCACAGCAAGAAGAAACCAAGCTGTACTGTTTTTTTGGCATGCACAGATGAAAGTATAGTGGATATTTTTTTTAGGTGTGTGTGCATGTTCTGCGCATGCTGGCTGACATTTCAGTCTAATGCTTCGGCTTTCAATCCAAGATGGCTGATAATCTCCTCTCTGAGCTTCAAAGGCTCACACTCCGGTCCCTTGATCTATCCTCATCTTCCTTTGATGGGTTTTAAGAGAAGGAGATTGTAGTTCTCTGTAATAACCCATACTGTCCCAGAGTGATGTTGAAGCTCAGCGTCTGACTGTGTGGGGAGCTAAAGATTAATGACCTTTTGGCTGGATGAGGCGAGAGTGTGTGAGACAAAGAAGGAGAGTGACTGAGGAATGAGAGTGCTTATGTATGTGCGCACACACGCCGCACTCCCATTTAGGGGACCATTAAGGCCTCCGCTGCCATCCGCATCGCCTCTCTCAGTGAGTCATGTTCTTTATCTGCAGAGCTTCATTCAAATGGAAATGAAGTTTACCTCATTTTTCCCTCATTGTAAATGACAAGGTCAGTGGCAAATGATTCAATTAGCCTAGCCTGGCTAGCTATCTGACGTGACTGTCCGCGGGTGTCTGAGTGGGGATGTTTTGAAATGTAAATGGAGTTAATGAATCAAATTAATGTCGACATTTTTATGTGTCACAGTGGGATTCTGTAGGAAGTTTCATGTTGACTAGTAACTGTTGAAAATGAAAATGAAAATGAAAAGTTCAGCGTACAGTGACCAAAGTTTCCTGTTTGTCTGGGGGGCAAATTTGCTTTTCCTAAGGCATGACCTGACCTATTCTGCCTCACTCCACCTCCTCTTGCCTAAACCTAACCAACCAAAGATGGCAAAGAGTGCTAGCCAATCAGAGGGAGAGAGGGACGGGTCATGCCTTTGCTATCCTTGAAAAAACAAAGTAGCATCTGGGTTTGTCCCGGTTTCAATCTGGGTGTTTGGGGTCCTGACAAATAACTGTAAAGCACTAACATGTCCCCAGTTTTCACCACGATTGAAATAACAGTAAAAATAATACTTGTTTTCAGCGCTTATTAACACTGATTTGTTTGTATGTGTGTCAATCAATCAATGTGTTGTCAAAGTGTTGTCTGTTACGCTAACGGTTAGCTGTAATGCAGAATATAAACTCGGTCTTCGTACAGTGCACAGCAACAAAAACGCTGACGTTTGCGCACACTACGAGAGCACACTTCTGGACACGCAGGGTGGAAATGATATTTAAAGGATAATATTATGGCTGCCAAACATAGGCGGTGGTTAAAACAGGAAGTAGCTAAGTTGCGTCTTAACATTAATGTCACTTGAGCGAGGCAAATGTTGGTGACAGCCTTCTGAAATGAGCGGCTTAAGAGGAGATCTTTGCCGTCTGGTGAAACACAACCAGAGCTTTTGGTCCATGAACTTCACAGCTGGTTTTGGGTTTCTGGTGTTATTATACAGTTTTCACATAAACTATGTTTTGGTGGATGACATGGTATTGAAAGGTGTGCATGGTAGGTGGGTTATGTGCTGAATTAACTGTCCCCCAGCTATGGTGTGTGCAGGGGTCCATACATGTGCGCGTGCGATACACTTAGATGTACATTATGTCATTTACTGTGGCTAGCGGTTCCTCTATCAAAACAAAACCAAAAGACGGTGCCGAATTATCAGCAGATGTATCTTACTCTCTAAAACAAACAGACCAGGTGATTTAAGGTGGAAAACCCCCCAAAATAAAGCATTTCACGTTAAAAATCACTGTTTCTCCAATGCTCTTTGGCTTATTGCGGAGGGGCTGCTACCCTTTTGCTAACGTTTGCTCATCTTTTTTCTCTGACAACTTAAGATCCAGATTTTTAGAAGGTTTTTACAGGGAGCCGAATTATTTGCAGAGGTTTGTTCCTCTCCAAGACAAAGACATCAGGTGATTTAAACTGGTAAACGCACTGAATAAAGCATTTCACATTAAACATCACTGTCTCTCCAATGCTGTTTGGCTTGTCTCAGAGAGGGACTGCTAGCATTATGCTAACGTGTGCTTGTCTTTTTTTCGGATAGCATTAGAACCAGATGTTTGGAAGGTTTTTACTTGGAGCCGAATTAACAGCAGAGGTCTCTTCCTCTCCAAAACAAACAGACCCAGTGATTTAAACTGGTAAAAACACTGAATAAAGCAGTGTCATGTTAAAAATGTGTGTTTCTTCAATGCTGTTTGGCATGGTGGGAGCTGGAGCAGAGACACCGCTAACATTTCTCAGCTAGTTTTTCTTATAACTTCAGATCCAGACGCCCAATGACTAAAATGCTTCATCTGGTAAAACATATAGTTAAAAATGACCAAGATCTAAAATATGTGCTGTAAAAACGTGGCTTAAAATTTGACAGAAAGTCAATTTATGGCAGCTTTTGGCAGACAGCCACAACTGTGATGCATGCACAAGGGGGATATGACGCCAGTGACAGGCAATGGCAACCAAATGACGTGTCCTTGATTTAGATTTAAGGTTTTTCTGGCTTTAAACATTGTTGGAACCATTTGGGATAATACGCATTTTAGACATTTTTAGACATTTAATGCAGAAAAGTTACAGATTTTATCTTACAGGGTCTCAGTTTGGGGGGAAAATATGGTCACACTAGTTAAGCGTATGTTAATGGTTGATTTGTGTGTGTGTGTGCATTATATATACACTTGTGTGTGTGTGTCATGTGCAGTCAATGAACTTGGGTAAACGGTTGACAGGAACACATGCAAATCAACAGAATATGGAAGGCAAATCTCAAAAGTGTTAATAATTAATAAAACATTCAGCCTTTCTCGTCCCACTTTTGCCCTCCCAGTTCAGCCTGAACAATAAACCAGGACAAAATCAAGTCACATTTCCATATGAAACCAAACTTGTGGGGTTTACATACCTAAAAAGAAATATTAAAAAAATAAATAATACAAGGGAGAGAAAGAGGGGGTGCAAAAACATTTGTTTGACAAAATTAATAATCATATAACACAGAAATTACACGCAGCCAAATATGGG